ACTACAGAATCCCTGAGCCAACATGGTCGGTGATTATTTTGGCCAAAGAATTGTCCAAGCTCTCTATGAATTTTATACCATAGTTTAATTTAGCTCATAAATGGTTTTAGGAAGAGAGTCCCACTCTCAGTTCTCTCTTCCTGACTGTCTCTGTATGATTTCTTCCTTTTGATTTCCGCAGTTTGCCCTTGATTTTCCTTGTATTTCTCTTTATTAATAAAAATTAAAAAGACCTATCGATAACTGTTTTGTTTTGTTCCTAATGCATACATAATGTTAAAACCTAAACAGCCCCTTTGGTTCTCCCCTTTTCACTTCAGTCTTGTCTCTTAGGAGTGTTGCTTCCAAGATGCCAGCCAATCTGACAAATGGTCCTTGGCCCACCCATTAGCCTCCTCAAGAAGGAAAAAAAGGGAGGGTCAGGTTTCTCTGAAACCCGTTAACCATATGGTGATACTGTATAAAATCACAGGAATTACTTTGGCCTTAAATGCTAATAATGCTCATGGAACATACCGTAATGACCTCCTTTCATATTGTAGAATTTAACAATGGCTTGCGTCAGCAGTTTTGCCTTATATAAAATCCTATTTTGCTTGTGTCATCAAGATAAATTTGATGAAAAGATCACTCCTAAGTAGGGCAAGTGCTTTACCTGTTGAAGTTCCATACAATTTAATAGCTAACTAGCTTTACATAGCCAGTTGTTCTTAGGAAAAAAAACAGAAAATTTCAGCATCTGGTAGTTTATCTCTAGATTATTAAGTATCCAGTATTAAAAAAAACACCTTTAAAGATCATTTGAGACAAATTCTGAACTGGGACAAAAGTACTGAATGATCTCCAAAAACAAGAGTTGCTATATTTTGTTGGGCCAGTCTTGATGATTGACGAGTCATCATGAGAGAGGACAAGATTGTTTAGAAAAACATTAAACAAGAAAGGATAAAGGCATAAAGCATTTGTATGAGGACTTGCAAACATTTATCAGTCATAGTTTTGGAAGAGGTGGCTATGTTAGTCTGTGCACACACATCAGGCAAAATCCAAAGAAGGAAAAAACCCAAAAGCAAAACCAAAAAAAAACAAAGACAAATGGAACCTGAGAGAGGACAAGATTGTTTAGAAAAACATTAAACAAGAAAGGATAAAGGCATAAAGCATTTGTATGAGGACTTGCAAACATTTATCAGTCATAGTTTTGGAAGAGGTGGCTATGTTAGTCTGTGCACACACATCAGGCAAAATCCAAAGAAGGAAAAAACCCAAAAGCAAAACCAAAAAAAAAAAAAGACATATGGTACCTTAAAGACTGACTGTTATATTTTAATGTAAGCTTTTGTGGGTCATATCCACTTCTTTGGAAATATGGAATAAAATTAAATACAGGAATAAATACTAAATTCACAAGCAGAACATTCAAAACATTCATTTCCTTTAAGAGTCTCGGGTGTGTGGTTACATCTCACGTGCAGTATTTTATGTCTATGTTTGGTGTTAAATTCTATTGTAAATATTCCTACAGGAGACAGAAAACAGATAACCAGGTAAGGGAACAAAAGGGTGTGGGAAGGGGATGGAGATAAAGTGGTGGTGAAGATAAAATG